GCACAGCCTGCTGGGGTGTCAGCCACTCCTCAAACCTGTGATGATGAAGCCCAATAGAAAAGGCAGGAAGGGGGGTTGACGAGAACCCCCCATCTTGGCCACAGTATGCTTTTAATGATAATTCGTCTGTTCATCACTACAGTGCTGCAATGCCTATAACATTTTACTATCACGCATTAACAAGTATTTAGGAAAGCACCTTCTCAAAGAATCAGACTTCAAGACCTGGGCAAGATGACATGTATGCTCGGAGTCCAAGTTCACAAAGATAAATGTGCAAAAAAGAGTTTAACCACGGGTAGTGTTTTGGTATGTGTGGAAAATTCTATTCTGACTTACCAGTGGAATTTAAAGCAAGAAGACAGAAATAAACCCCAGGTGTCTTATATCTGCAGCCTTTAGTTTCCCAAACCCCTCTTATGCAGGGTAAAATTTGGTAAAAAACGTCTCGTGCTCTACTGTCAGGTGGTGGAACATAATGAAACGTTAATTTGTTTCATCTTTTTTTTTTTTCCCCCTAAATGCAACCACGTGTTCCTATGTTGCAGTGGCTTTCCTAGCACTCCCCTGTAGGAGCACAATTAGGCAAACTGGTGGTAAACGTAGACACCTTTAAGATAAGGTCATTTATCCAGGAAAGGTGGAGGAAGTGGGATTTTGAATGCCAGTAGTGGGTTTGACCACACATTTGCAGAAAAGGCGGAATGCCTGTGGGCTGCTCCGTTCTCCCCAGACAAGTTTCATCTCCCAGCGCTGAGGCAAGAAGAGAATACTCTCTCTCCCTGTTACACCCAGTGCAAGATGCCAAGATCCAAACGGAAGCCCAGGCTGTAGAGTAGAGTTTGATGGGTTGTTCGAGAGGAATGACTAGGTTGGATATGGACATCTTGGGCGTGTGTGCTCACACGAGTAGCATTTGAGATGCTCTGGGGATCTTGCCTGACCACTCCCTGTGGTTCCTGGAGCGGATTTTGGCTTAGGAAAGTGACTTGTGGCCCAACAACCTCTGCCTATTGGGGACCACATGGCTCCTCTGAGCGAATAAAAGTCTGACGACATAAGTCAACCTAAGTCTCATACAGCTCCTGCATCTGCTGTGGATGCCTTGGTTCTCTAAAGGTGTACCAGCACAAGATCCTTATAATCAGGCTACTTTAGCCACAGGAATCATGGAAACACCTCTGTACCTAAGCGTCCGGACGTTTGGATAGAAGGAGCTATGTGTACTCTCATCTAATGTCTCCTCTCTTCTCCATTTTCAGCTGTTACTCCATCTCCTTCAGTCTACAGGCTGACCTCTAAAGATGATGAGGATTTGGAGATGTGCCTTATCACAGATTACTCCCCTGGAAACCTTACACTTAACTCAGCTGAGAAGCAGATAGATGCTGTTGTGGAGGTCGCAACATCTGACAGTAAACGTGAAGCGAGCTACGTGTCAACCTACTGGGCCAAGAAGGATGAAATGCAGTGTGGAGCAAATCACGAGGGCTTTGGAGAACTGGAGAGCGAGGATCCTGAAAGCGGTAATGGCATTGCTGGGTGTGTGTACAGGGCTAGATGTTCTCTGTGCTATTAGTATGAGCAGGACTTGGTCACATCTCCCAGCCCCGCAAGTGATGCTCAGCCATGCTTCCACATTCCCGGGGAAAGCTGACTTGCAGCCTCTGTTTTCTTTTGCCTCCTCCTTGGTGGAAACAAGATTCAGGGTAGACTGGTATAGTCACAGCAGAGAGGTCTTATAATTGTACTGTGGGGGATATAAAACTTAAAACTCTGTTGTCCAATGGGACACTAAAGTTTAATTAGATCATATTTTATGACTTTGTTGCTTATGGGAGGACTTACTGGCCAGAAATTCTAATCCAGTCCTTCTAAGTAAGTAGAGACACCTTTATGAACTTCTGAAGCAGTATATTTCCATTATTAATGAAATGTATTGTTACTATCTGCAGGTGTCAGCGCTGTCTGCATTACAGGGATGTCTCTACACTTCAGGACAGGTATGTACACAGCACACATTGCAACCTGCTCTGGTGGGAGGTGTCCCTGCCCATGGCAGGGGAGTTGGAACAAGATCTTTAAGGTCCCTTCCTACCCAAATCATTCTATGATTCTGTGTTTTGAGGAGTGAAGCTTGGCCTGATTAAAGGAAACGGCTTCCTCTGTTTGTGGTCATGTTGCCTGTTTGTGGAATTCCTGTTGGAGCAAAAAGCTCAGACTGGAAATTTCCAAAAAGGGCCCCACAGCCTTTAAACATCAAGGCTGGAAATCATCACATTAATGCAGTGTCCCAGATGTCAGCTGGTAATTGTGTGACCAGTGTGGCCAATGCTTACACGCTCTTGTTAAGACCAGCTCAACAACTACACCCCATCTCATAATGAGTTAAGGTACTGATATGAGTCAGCCTTGCTTGAGGTCTGCCTGCATTTCAGACTTCAAAAGCCTTGTTTTTATTTTTGGCTGCACAAACACCTCACAAAGCAAAAGATAAGCAGGTGGTTTCTGCAGTGTGTGTCCGGAAACATGGCTGCGCTGAAGACATGATGCATCTGAGCAAGCTTTGCTTCAGCTCAGGGCTGTGGGACTAGACCAGCCAGCACTGGAGCCCAAGCAATCGCTGCTCATGCTAGTTCAAAGGAGCTGAGCCGGCCCCCGCACTTGCCCTGTTTACAGAGCAGCTGTACTTCTGCAAACACTCAGCCCTGTGGAAAATAAACCAGTTAGCTCAATGTTTCCAAAACATCACTTCAGAGAAATACTCATTAGTAAAGCTGGCTGATTTGATCAGCCACTTCAGAGAGAGGTTTTCAAATACAAAATAACTTTTTGATGGCAGCTCCCTGCTTCCCCAATATATATCAGTGTGTTTTCAAATGAAAATGGCTTTGTAACTTAAGATTAATAGAAAATCCAAATAGAATTTGTGCTCTTTGAATAAAATTTAACTAATTTTCCCCCTGAAGAGGAAGGGCAAGGAAGCAGGGATGCCTCCAGCATTCTGGGCTTACCATGTTTAAAACCAGCTGGATGGCTGGCAGATTTGCATATTGGATAATTAAGTGGTTCTTGAATGAAAACTGGGCCCTTGAAAGACCAGCTGGAAGAAAGGAAAGTGGATCAGTGAGACAGTCCTGCTCACTGCCTTGTTAGCTATCCTGCTGCCTGCCTCAATCCCATGGAGTGGAACATCATCAGGAAGGGCTTTGAAGTCTGTCTGGAAGCAAGGACGCCTCAGCGTTCTCTTGACATTCCCTCTCTGCTGCTTTTACAGATGAAATCCTGAACAGACTGTCTTTATCACATCTGGGCCTGAAAATAATTTTAATGAAAGCAACAATTTTTAACGTGCTGATGACGATGCTCGCGTGGAAAAAAAAGTGAGTACGCATGGGGGGGTGGTAAGGTCTCTGACAGCAGACATCTGGATCAGTTCATCAGGGTGTTTAGTTCCGAAAGGGTAGTGAAGCACTGGAATGGGTTGCCAAAGGATGTGGTGGAGTCACCGTCCCTGGACATGTTTAAAAAACAGTTGGATGTGGCACTTCAGGAGATGGTTCAGTGTTAGCGGGGTGTAGGGCTGTAGGTTGGGCTTGATGATCTTAAGGGTCCTTTCCAACCTTTATGATTCTGTGATTAGCTCTGAATGTCCCTTCTGGCTGTTCACGCACTCTGTCCATGCACCTTTGCCTGCCAACAGTAAAATCCCTCCATGTCTTTGGCCATTGTTTTCACCCACATCTCAGGTTTATTTACTTCTCCTTATCCATGTGCAAATCTGACTTTTCTCTTACACCTGGACATCTCTCCCTTCTATTTATACATCCATCCCTTCCGGTGTCTCCATTCATCCATTACATCCCTCCCTTGACCAGTTTTCAGTGGGGAAAGTCTGATGTTTTTTTGACTTTTAGACCTAACACACTCATTTTGGCCCAGCATCTCTTTCTCCTCTTTCTATTGCCCAGATACTTCATGTCTCCAGTCCTGTAGCTGCAACTGCATCCCAAATAACAATTTTAACATACCTTTATTTTTGTTTCAGGAATGAAAGTCACCCGATGGTGCGGTCCTGAAGTGCTCAAACCATCTGCTGAGGAATCTTTCCCAGTGCATCATGTGCAAGAGAGAACAAGACGTTATGATGTTTCTGGTGCGGGGGATATCACCTGCTGCTTCTGCATATCACCATTATAGTCTCAATTTACTCATTTGCATTGTTATAAAACTACTCAAATATAAGCTTAAGATTTCTGTCCCCCCCCTCCCCAGTGCCGGATTCATTTTGCATGACCTGTTTTTAGCATAAAGCATAGTTTGCTTATAACAACAAATTGATGAACTTCACCATTACTTCCATTAAAATGGCACAAGATTTCTGCTTGGGGCGGTGTCGTTTGTTGAACTCAGCAAGCTAAATATCACTCGGATGTGATTTTTTCATACCTGGGTATCTATCCATTAAGCACATCTCAAGGTGCACCCCCACAGACACCATTTCAGTCGTAAATCATAGAATCATAGAATGGCTTAGGCTGGAAGGGACCTTAGAGATCATTTTAATCCAGCCTCCGTGTCATGGGCAGGGACGTCACCTCTCGACTAGAGCAGGCAACACATGGGGACCGAGTGGGAAACACTGAAAACCAAAAAGAGACTTTTTCAGGATGCCATGCACTATGTCCTGCTACCTTTTGGTAGATCAGAGCAGAGTATCTTTATTTTCCCTAGAGGACACAGAATCATAGAATTGTAGTCCAATTCAGGTTGGAAAAG